CTTTCGGATTGTAAAACTATCAATAAGTTCAACTGGAGGCTTGCAAAAAAAAAAAAAAGTTCTCTAGTTCTCGAAAAAGAGAGTAATCGATTTTAAAGATCGCTTAGTAACTGAGTAGATTTTGGCTCACCCTGTATTAAACGAATACCGAGAGAGAAGTTTTAAAGTAAATTACGTCAGAGTATATTTGTATGTTTTACGTTTCATTGTGTTTGTTTACATACAGATGATATATACCTACGTACGTACTATCTAATAAATATATACATATATATATATATATATATATGTATATGTATATGTATATGTATATGTATATGTATATATATTATATATAGATAGATGTATATAACGTTTATATAGGTATACTACGTACTACGCGTAGACATCATTTTATTTAGCGGAGAAAGGAGAAAAGAGAAAAGATAAAGGTCGTTTCATCGTTGTTGGTGGTTCAAAGTCGACGGTGGCACAACACGGCCACCAGAGAAGGAATCACTTTGTTTGTCTCGTTCTATTTACAATACTTTCGTGCAGTTTGCTTTTCTGTTTATCCACGTGCTTAGCCTTCGGCTCGCTTGTGTTGTTCGACGTAAGTCACGGGTAAACGCGACTGATCTAATTATTCCATACCGTGGTACGTTGGAGTATGCTGAAGTTCACGTTTCGATGTCTGACGAGTATAAAGAGGAAGATAGAGAGATAGATAGATAGATAAATATATATATATATATATATATATATATATATATATATATAGAGAGAGAGAGAGAGAGAGAGAGAAGGGTGATAAGAAAAAGGGGGAAAAAAAAATATTAAAGAAAAGATAAATAAAAATATTTTTCCTTAAGAATTTTCTCTTCATTTATTTCAGAAACACTTTCTCACACGTTTCTTTTTCTAAACAATTTTTTAAATTCAATATAATTCTTTCTGGATTTTCTTTCCTTTTTTCTCTTACTTTTTTTCTTTCTTTCTTTCTTTCTTTCTTTCTTTCTTTTTTTTTTTTTCCTTTTCATTTCTTTCCTTTTAATCTTATCATCACTTAACAATAATAAAAATGTAAGATATTTATAAAAATTTGAAAGGAAAGAAATAAAATTAATTTAATTAATGGTATAAATTTTATACGATGTTATTTATGTAATTATAATTAATAATAAATATATTAATGTTTCTATTTTATTTATATATGTATACATATATATATATATATATATATATATATATATATCAAGCAGTCATCATACTCATAATAAATAAAATCATCATTTTGTTATTATCAATATTGTTTTCGTTATTGTTAAAAATTTAATTCAAATATTCGTAATATATTTATATCTATAAATTTAGCTCATACATTTGTAATACCAGAGTAAATCAATTTTAGTGATTTGGATTTTGTAAATATGTATTAATAAAAACCCATAAATAGGAACAAAAATTTATTAATAATGATTGATCGAATCACAATCAATTTATTTAAATATATATATATATATATAGACAAAAAGGTGAACGAACTCGATTCATTAATAAACGACGACGTGAAATGGTAAATTAAATGAATCTGATATGTTGACAATCGAACGAAAACAGGCAGTAAATACGATCGTTACGTTGCCATTTCATTCTCTCTCTCTTTCTCTCTCTCTCTCTCTCTCTCTCTCTCTCTCTCTCTCTCTTTCTATCTATCTATCTATCTCTCTCTCTTTCTCGTATACACACGTCAATGGTTCGAGGTGTGTATTAAGCGTAAGCAAAAGTACGAGAGCACTTAGGGAACTTCTTGCATGCATGCATCTACCTGCATTTCTATCGTACTATGACTATGTATAGACTATATATATATATATATATATATATATATATATATACTTTGGTAACGATAATGTTGTATTCTCGTGTAAATGAGAAGATAAAGGATAACGAGTTAATGAGTCTTCGTTACTCCTATATAATGTTTCCTTATTATGTCATTTCCGTTTAGTCTAGTAAAATTTTTGTCAAGTTACATATAGTACTTTCAATTATCATTCAAACTAATGTAATAACTCATGATGATTATTATTTTACATTATCAAGATTTCTTATCTATTTATTTATTTATTTATTTATTATATATTTATTTATTTATTTATTTATTTAATTTTTTTTTTTTTGGATTACTAAGTAATATCATCGATCATAGTCACGGATTTATTATTTTAATTTTTGATAATATTAACGATAGAAAGTTTAACAATTATTATGTCTTGGAATTGCTGTTATATATATAAACTTAATTGCAAATTATGTTACTCAAATGAAAGGCTTCATACGGATCGATCAAAGATACGAGAAATTGTAAAAAAAAAAAGATTTAATAATGTTACATTTAGATTGATCTGATTGAATTTACAACTTTGTATAGAATATTTCTTTCAAAGTATTACGTTAAATAAATTTTTAAATAGAATATATTTCTTATATTACTTTTGTAACAATTTCATTTGGCTTATTATATCCTATGATATATTTTTTTCAAATACTAACTTACCTCAAGTAAGTACTCAAATAAGTGTTATCCAAATGACGCGGATTCATCAGAATTTTTGCTAATTAAACAAATAGGGACTAACGTGACAATCAGCGTCCTGATAGTGCTAACTGTTGTCATGCATACCACTAGATGGCGAATTTTCTCGATAGTGAATAGTAGTTAGATTTAGATTTAAGAAAGATTGACATGATCATTAGTAGTCATGTTAAGTACTTTTTTTCGGCCGTTTTATTAATATTTTACAGATTTTTACGAAAAGGGGGAAAATTTTTTTATAACCAATTTAATTTTATAAATCAATTTATTTCTAATTTTTGAACGTTATACTTAGGTTTATTGATTGATTTAAAAGAAAAAAATTTTTTTTTCAGCTTTTACTCAATTATAAATAAATATGTAAGGATCCTAAAAAAAAAAAAAAACTTTTGATTTCTAAATTTTTAATAATAAATTTTTATATTAATCAATGTGAATAAAATATTATCAGCGTAAAAAGAAGGAATTACCAGCGTGGTTAAGGAAAAGAGAATATAATGTAATTTATAATAATTTTGTTATACGGGGGAAAATGTGTGTTGAAAAATATTTGCAAGTTTTGTTGTATTTAAATAAATTTTTTTTTTAAATCTCTTTTCATTAAAGTAGGCTTAATAATATATCTCGAAACACTTTCTTACTAGGGAGGAATACTCTTAGAGAAGAGAAGAGAAGAGAAGAGAAGAGAAAGTTTATTAGAGAAAATATTTAATCTTTATTTTTTTTTTTTTTTATTCTAATCAGTATTTTCAAATAATTTATACAGTATTAAAATATAATATAATTTTTTTAATTTACTAAGTTGCTGGTGTTGAACGATGATGGATAATTGAATTTATAAAAATGCGCACTTTTTCTGATTAAATTTAATTCCTTTTATTATTCGTGAGTATTTAAATAAACAATTTACACAATTTTGTAAAATTATAAATCTTTTTCAAAAAATAATAATCGCGATTGTCGTTACATAAGAAATAAATGAAAAATAATACAATTTGATATATTCTATGTTAATAGAAAATTAACATTGTTTTTGTGATCGTGTTTTCAACGAAAGAATATAAATAAAAATATTTTATTAAAGTTTAAACGCTCGATAACAAACCGTATTTATTTTATTAATACCGTCAACACGAAAAGTTTTATACTTGTATAAGCAACTAACTTTAATAGAAAGTTCTTAAAGAAATTATGACTTGAGTTAAATTCTACGGTATAACACTTTAGTTAGTATTTCAGCCACCAGGAGGATGGATCTTCTCACAAACGTTAATACCTTTGATAATATATATTTACCAAATCGTTAGGATCAATCTTCACTCTGGTTTCCCTTCAACACACGTATAAATCTTTCGCCTTTTACTAAAGATTTCCGTGGAGGGGAACAATTGATGAGTCTGTAATTGAATTTTTGAAAACCCGACGTAAAGTCGGGTTCATTAATTAATTTAAAACAAAAATTTTTTTTTTCAGCCTCTTTTTACACTATATAAAAAAATAATATTATTAAGGATTTAAAGAATATATCGAATTTTGTGATTTATAAATTTTAATTAATACACATCCTCCCCCATATAGTTAAGAAATATATTTGGAGTAATTTATATTATACGGACTTTTTTAATAATATTTAATGAACTTATTATAATATATTTAAATAAAATTATTCTATTTCCGTAATAAGTGTCCTGCTATACAAAATATCTCTGAAAACATTCTTCTTGATACAAATTTTATAGAGTTTATATTTTTTAAAGTTACTCCTTTAACAAGGATATTAAACAATCTTTCATTTTTTTTTTCTAATCCAGTATTTTTAAATAATTCATAAAGTATTTTAAAATATCTTTAATTATATATCTTATGAACGAAAGAAAATTTTTATTTAATTCATCAAGAGTCACTGTGTTATGGCGTTGAAAATGATATTAAATTTTTATAAGATGCGTATTGTTTCTAATTAAATTTTAATTCCTTTATTATGTGCGAGTATTGTTATAAATAATTTTACAGCGTTAAAAAATTATATATAAAAATTTTGTCAGAAAAATAATCGCAATAGTTTATCAACATCGTTACATGAGAAACATATAAAAATAGTAATACTGTGATATAGTGTAAAATAAAAACAAAAAATAATGATCACATTTTCAACAAAAGTATATAAATAAAAATATTTTATTAAAGTTTAAACGTTCGATACAAATCGTATTTGTTTTATTAGTATCGTCAATACGTAAAGTTTTGTATTTGTGTAAAAGCAACAAAACTTTTTACACAAAGTTTTTTAAAAGAAAATTTATGACTTTTTAAATTCTATGGTATAACTTTAGTTAGTATTTCAACCACCAGGAGGATGAATCTTCTCACAAACGTTAATACCTATTATAATATATATTTATCAAATCGTTAATATCGATCTTAACTCTGGTTTCCCTTCAATACACGTATAAATCTTTCGCCTTTTACTAAAGATTTCCGTGGAGGGGAACGATTGATGAGTCTATAATAAAAATTTTTGTACGCCCGACATTTTAATGTCGGGTCATTAATTAGATAAAACATAAATTCTATTATTCATAAGTTTAATTCATATTTGATTAAAGTTTCTACATACAACACCCCATCATTACAGAAACTCCCTTATGGGAGAACGTGTAATACATATAATACGTGCGCAATTAGTTATTCGTAGTTTTCGTAAAGTTTGATTTTAGAATTTACTCTGAAGTTTTATACTTCACATTCGTAGTTTTTCTTTTATTTATTTTTCTTTTTTTTTTTTTTCATGTTGTTTTGGTTTCTTTACAATTTTTCAATTATACTTGCAAAATCACAGAGGTGTGCCAGATAATATCATTATTTACGGATGTGTTAATATTTTAGTATACAATTTTATTTCTAGTTGATTAATATATAATGTATAAAGTAAAATATAAAATTGATGTAAAAATAAATAACACTGTAACTTTTACGTACATACAATTTTTATATTATAATTATGAATGAAAAAAATTAGAGGGCGGAGGGGGGGGGGGAAGGGAGCTTAGTAGAAAATTAATCGAATTTGTTTTTTTTTCAACTTTAACATTTGCTAAATTAAATTACATTTGAGTTGTGGCTTTTTATTATTATATTAGTCATTTTATTTATAGATATTAAATGATGTTTTATTTGACGTTATAAGAATTCTCTTTATTAATTTATTAATCGATTCAATAGATAATGTACGAATGTGTACATTATAGTATAGTAACATACATTTTATATTATAGTTATAACAAAAAGTTGAAAATTCTAGGGAATAATTTTTGAAATTTGAAAGAATTGTTGGAAGAAAAAAAAAAAAAAAAGAAAAAAAAAGAAAAAAAAAAGAGAGAGAAAACAACTTACAAATATTTTAATCTCAAAAAGTAATCCCTTAAATCGATTTCCTTGGTTTTACATCATCGACAATTCGATGAAATCATTTTTTCGCATTCAAAGTAATATACTCATTTGCCCTCGCTCCCCCACCCCACCCCTCTTGAATGAGGAAAAATCCTGTAAAATTTCAAATTAACTTTAGTTCTGTTCTCCCCTCTCTCCCCTAACATTCCTACTCTCCCTGTCCTTGAAATCACGCATAAATCTTTCACCTTTTACTAAAGATTTTTCATGGAAAAGGGGGAAACATACGATTAGAGTCTGTCTCTAACTGAATATTTCAAATGATCCGAACTTGCAATCCTAAAGGGTCGTCATACAATCGAATTGCGAAAAGTAAACTCTTTGTCCTTCTCTTTACATTATTGCTCTTCTCTTTCACGATTCAACTGGTCTTGTAAAATACTTGAATTGCGTCAGAGCTTTTATATTAGTTCGATGTCATTGGTATTCCTCCACCTCTCTCTTTTTCTGTTCTTTGACTAATCCAACAAGAGGGATAGAAAGAGAGAGGGAGAGAAAGAGAAAGAGAAAGAGAAAAAGAGAGAGAAAGAGAAAGAGAGAGGGAGAGAGAGTGAGAAGGGGACATGTATTTGACAGTGGGGGAAAAAATAGAAAGAGCGAGAGCGAGAGCGAGAGAGAGAGAGAGAGAGAGAGAGAGAGAGACCAAAGAGAAAAAGGGATGGAAAAGTCGGTAGGGGAAAGGGAAGTTTTAGAAGGTGGAAAAACGAAAGACAAAAGTCACCGGAAGAGAGGACAGAGGGTCGAATTCCCAGTAGATCACTGTCACGCGGCGAGAAGCCAATATAAATACCTCAACGCTTCGCCCGGTTTCCAGTCTCTCTCTCTCTCTTTCATTCGTTCTTCTCTCTCTCTCTCTCTCTCTCTCTCTCTCTATCTATCTATCTATCTATCTATCTATCTCATTTTCTATGTCCTATTGCTCTAGCACGTTTGTCGTGTTGCTGTGTTGCTTGGTACGCGTTCTCTCTCTCTCTCTCTCTGTCTCTTTCACTCTTTCTCTTTCTCTCTCTCTTTCTTTCTCTCTTTTGTAACCCGGCCTGTCCCGTTTGTTTTCCAGCACGCGGCGGCGTTTCTAGAAAGGAACACGGAGGACTGCAAATGCCTAGAGGGGAAAGGTAGAGTGTAGAAAAAGGGAGTTTGGGATGAGGGTTGAAGGATGGGTGGGAGGTGAGCAGGGGAGGGGACGGGATAGCGAATGGAACGTCGCGCTTCTGCGACGCACGTTTCTCTAGAAAGTTGAAAGGAATCATAGGCAAGAAAGAAAGAAAGAAAAAGAGAGAGAGAGAGAGAGAGAGAGAGAGAGAGAATGAGAGAGAGAGAGAGAGAGGGAGAGAAGGGACTAAATTATTCCACGTGCACGTACCCATTCTTTCTCCTTATCCCGTCTAGACCTCTTTCCTACAACCCCAAACTCGCCCCTCCAACCTCGTTGGTACCTCCGAAGGGATGGTTTGAGATTAAGGAGAATTCGTTTTCGTGAGCAAGAGAGAGAGAGAGAGAGAGAGAGAGAGATAGTTAGTCTAATATTTTCTTTAAAACCAAAATTGCCCGTCCTACATATCTACATATACAATTTTCTTCGTTTCTTCTTAAAAT